TAGGAAAAAAAAAAGTGCGGGCCCAGCAGAACATGACATGACATAACATAGCAGATCATAAAATATCGCACTGCATCACCTTACACTACACTACATTGCATTCCATATCATGTCATTACATTGGGTTACATTACACGACGAAACATAACACAACACAACGTAGGTACGTACGTACGTATGTACATGCATGCGTACCTACAGACATATGTACATACATAATAACCTGCATAATCGATACCTTCGTGCAACCGTACATCCATCCTTCCATGTACCTGAAGATATAAACAACATAGATGAGCTAAATCGTCGCCAGGGCTTAAGGTCGAATCTACTGGTTTCAGGGCTTTTGGGCACTCTTACCCTTAGCATCAATATACCCCAAAAGCCGTATTTAAAAGGGTCTTTGGGCCCAAAAGCCTTAAAATATGAGTCCTTAGAGGGTAAGGGTTAAAGCTATGAGCCCGAAAGCCCAAATCAACAAGCATGCGCTGGCTGCCCCAACGCCGAGAGCAGCATCTAGCAGCGGTGTTTGAAATCGATCTTGCGAATAGAACCTAGACTAAGGTCTGGATTCTATGTTTCTGCCATACCGAAAAACCCCACCGTCGTTCAATCATCGTCTGGGGCTGCGGTTTGATCATGCCTGGCAGGTGGATCATGCTCGTCAGAGATTTCATTCGGCAAGCAACATGGACCTACTCCAAACTCTGCTTTGCCCTAAACCCTAAACCCTGAACCCGACTCTACATCCTTACCCCTGATCCGGATCCCCTACAACCTGAAGCGTAAACCCCGAACCCTAAACCCTAAGCCCAAACCCTAAACCCTAACTCCTAAACCCTAAACCCGAAACCCCAAACCCCTAAACCCTAAACCCTAACTCCTAAACCCTAAACCCCGAACCGTCCCAAATTCTGCAGGATAAGGGCTGCCATCTGATCGCGTTTCATCGTAGGCGCCTTTTTGGCCAAAAAGGGCTTGGGGCTAAGGGCTCTACTTAGAGGGTCGGGGGGACTTAGGGTTTAGGGTTCAGGGAAGAAGTAGTTATTTGATAGTCCAAGTACCTGATAATCATATACTCCCCCAAGTATTAACCTAGAAAACTACTATCCGCAACCAATGTACCTAATCGTTGAGTCCTGTGGACCCGTAGGGATAGAGTTCATGCCAACTATGATCTCAGTTCGGGCACTTTATAACTCGACTTCTTACCTACTGACTAAGTCCCCCTGAAACCCCAAAACCCGACAAATCCTGAGAGTAGCCCTATACCCGATTTGCCGCTTGTGTTAGGAACACCAGATACTTGCTATTTCCCCCTCCACATACAAGAACTCTAGAGGATTCGCTTGGGTTGCACAGGGCCAAAGATCTGACTATAACTCTTTATAGGGTTCATGGTCCCTAAACCCTAAACCCAGAGAGATCGCCACTCGACGGGTGGTTCGAACTCTCGTCCTTTCATCACCCTACGCACTGCGTACTCTGTGGCTGATCTATGCAATATCGACCATGGCACCCTGGGCATTCCACGCATCAACACCATGGTCAGTGATGCTGATACTGCTGATGGACAAAATCCTGCATGTCCCAAATATAGTATGGTACCATAAATCCCATAGTTTAGGTATATAAGGTCATGCAGGATTTTGCGCATCAGCAGTACAGACCTGGTTCGCTCGGACGGTGAGGAAGCCTCAGGCCCCAGCTCTTGACCAGAAATACATGGTCCCAGTTTCCTTCCCATTGGCGAAGCAGCGCCCTCGGCATCAAACTGAGTGCGCACTAGATTGAACTCCTGAGTAGAAATCTCGGCCTTGCTGAGCGAGACTGGCCGGCCATGGCACAACATACAGAGTGCATAGACTGCACCACCGGTCACAGAGTCAGCATTGCAATGGGAGTCATCACCAGGGGTTTGCACCGTGGCTCTGGAGTCCCCGATTCCGACAGGAGCCGAAGTCAAGCCCTTGGCCTCCTCAACCCCGATTCTCACCTCAGTAAGATTCTCGCGGCCGTTGAAGCCGTTGGTGTCAGAGACACCTGAGGGTAGGCACCTGTGTATCAGGTGTCTCCCAGAGGAGTTGGTTATCCACGTGTTGTACACTGACATCGCACACCAGGAAAGCAGCTGCCGGTACTCTGCACGACAGAATTCTCCCCATTCAGAGCCGGCGGGCGCATGAACTTAGATCACTACTATCCGCAACCAATATACCTAATTGTTGAGTCCTGTGGACCCTTAGGGGAAGTAGTTGCTTTATAGAGTTCATGCCAACTAGGATCTCACTTCGGGCACTTTCTAACTCGACTTCTTACCTACTGACTAAATCCCCCTGAAACCCCAAAACCCGAAAAATCCTGAGAGTAACCCTGTGGCCTATGTGCCCCTTGTGTTAGGAAAACCAGATACTTACTATGTCCTCCGACCTCCATATATAAGAACTCTAGAGAGTTCGTTTTTGTTGCGCAGGGTATAGATCTGACTATAACTCTTTATAGGGTCCATGGGCGTTGGACTTACGGATTAGGCTTACGCGTTAAGGGTTTAGGGGCGTAGCGGCTAAGGGCATGGTCACTTTTCACTATAACTCCCAGAGGGTCCAAATACCCAAATAGTAGGGCTTTAGGGCCCAAATTCCAGAATTTGACGGTTTTTGTAAATGAATTAGTTGGGCAATCTCTGTGATTCTTTATAGGGTCCATGTTGCTTGGGCTCGGGGTTAAGGGGGTTACGGGGTTTTGGGGTTTAGGGGATCAGCGGTTTCGGGCATGGTCCAGAACCTCCCAGGTACTCTTAGGGTTTAGGGTTTAGGGTTTAAGGTTTAGGGTTTCGGGCTTAGGGTTTAGGGTTTCAGGTTTAGGGCTTAGGGTTTAGGGTTTAGGGTTTAGGGTCTAGGGTTTAGGGTCTAGGGTTCACCGACAT